AAAAAAAAAAAAACACGCAATCTCTAAAAGCCTTTCACCAAGTCCTCCCTCGCAGCTACCAATTATAGGCCATCTCGATCTCCTAAATCAACCACTTCGCCGAACTCTGCACCGCATACGGTGACGCATTCCTCCTTCGGTTTGGAACCCGCAACGCCGTTGTCGTGTCCTCGCTCTCCGCAGCTGAAGAATGCTTCACGAAAAAACAACGTTGATTTTGCCTACCGTTCTGAGTCACTCGTGGGAAAGTGATATGAACCTCGCCAACGACACGACGAGACCCAACACCAAATGCGGATCACAACCCTAATATCTTCAAGACGCAAGATTGTTGAGCCTTAACCCGTTGTCTATCAAGACGCGAATCAAGAACTACAGAAGATGAAGAACGCCATGCCAAGATTATCAAGAATCGCCCATTAATCTCAATGATAAGTTCGATTGTTGAACACCACAAGAAAAATATTTGATAAGTTCAAAAAGTTCTCTCAAGAACCAAGAAGCACAAAATATGCAAAACCTCAATATAATTATTCAATAATTAATTAAAAACGTGTTTGTACATTCCTATTTATAGTTGATGTGATTTTAACCCTAATGAAAAAGTAAAACATCTAATTACCTAAGTCTAAGCCCAAACTCAGCCACCCTAATCTAATTCCAAGTCCAATTCGGACCTTATGCAATTCCAAGGCCAATTCGGCCACAAATATTTCCCTAGGCCCAATGCGGCCAACTTGAGTTTGACTCCCCTTGTAATTCCACTTGAATCTTCTAGAACCTTAATCATGGTGACTAGGTTATCTTCATTCGGCTTTGGGTTTGTGTTGGCCTTCCATGTGCAAAAGTCGAATCCAGAAGCGTATGATGACGAGACGATAAAAGGTCTTATCCTTGTAGGGTCTAATGTATTTGAGATTTGAATTGCATCATATTGCGCTACTGAGTTTCTACTAAATGTACTGTTCTAAACATATAAATATATATATATATATATATGTGTATATATATATTCCGGCAATGCTGTTTGCTGGGACCGATACTACAATACTCACAATTGAATGGGCAATGTCACTTCTTTTGAATCATCCAAAGACAATGCATAATGCATGGGACGAGATAGAAGCTAACGTGGGACATGAACGCTTAATAAACAAGTCACACTTGCCAAACTTACATTACCTGCATAATGCCTATAATGTTATTGTTGTCGTTGTTGTTTTTTTTTTTTTCATATTTATTATCTTTTTATTTATTTATTTAATTCTTACGCATTTATTATGATTCATATAAGAATTATTCTAATGGAACCCAATTCAACTTCAAGTTTTACCCAATTCAAATATCAAATCAAAAGATCGATTGGATTTTTTGATTTATGTGCTTCTACAACACTCCTCAGCTTCACCCAAACCTAATAACGCACGCCTTGTTCACTAATATGTTGAGCAAGATACTGGAACGTAGAGGTGTCAAATGGGCCGGGCCGTCCATGGACGGCCCGGCCCAGCACGTAATAGTGCATGATTCGGCACGGCCCGGTTCGTTACTGTTGCGGGCCGGGCCGGCACGGCACGTGTAATGGACTAGGGCTGGGCCTCAACTTCTCAGCCCGTGGCCCAAGCACGGCCCAAGCACGTGGAGGCCCGCGGCCTGGCCCTTATTCGGCCCGGCCCATGCCCGCGAAAATGGCCCACGAAAAGCCCATTTCATTTGGTCCAGTGGGACCTTCGCGGGCCCAACGTTCGGCACGTGATGGGCCTCCCGTTTGGCCCGTCATGTGCCTCCCGTTTGGCACGTGATGGGCCAAACGGGACGCCCGTCACGTGCCGCACGTTGGGCCCGCGAAGGGCCCAACGGAAAAAAACAAAATTTTCACCCAAAAATCTCCTATAAATACCCCTTAATTCCACCATAAATCCCACACAACAATTCACTCTCATCTTCTCATCTCACTCTCATTCTATCTCTCAACTTCTCTCTTTGATTTTGATTCTAAGCTTTTTTCTCACGTTCCTTCATTTTCTAGCTCTTTCATTTACAAAGTTCAATCAAGTTCTATCAATTTTCAGAAAATGGCCTCACCAAATTTCCTTGATTTCACTGCTCTTCCTGAGCTTTGTGAGGAGACATTTTTTGAGGAAGAAATGATGCCTTCCAACCCCACCCCCACTGAACCAGAAAATGCTCCGGTGGATAATGCTTCAGTATACAACGAAGAAGCTGGAGAACGCAGTAGAGGAAAAAGACCGCGAACTTCTCCGGCATGGCAGCATTTCACC